CCGGGAGGTGGAGGTTGCAGTGAGCCGAGATTGCACCATTGCACTCCAGCCTGGGCAACAAGAATGAAACTCTGTCTCAGAAAAAAAAAGAAAAAGAAAACAGAGCTTACAATGTTAATATCAGACATGGCTGAATTCACCAAAAAAAAAGAAAAATCAGAAAACAAGACACAGAAGAACACCTTGTAATGATAAAAGCTGAAAGCTATGATGAAGATGTTATACATTTTTATGCATAAAATAATATAGCATCAGAATTCATAAAGCAAAAATGGGAAATACATGGAGAAATAGATATATAATAATGGAAGGAAATTTTAATTCATTTCCCTTAGCCCATGACTCATCAGTAAACCATACAGTAAGTAAGGCTATAGATGACTTGATTTGTTAATTAATAAGGTAGATTGAATTAAAATATATTAAACTTCAAGGTCAGGCTTGGTGGCTCTGGCCTGTAACCCCAGCACTTTGGGAGGCTGAGGTGGGTGGATTGCTTGAGCCCAGGAGTTTGAGACCAGCCTGGGAAACATGGTGAAACCCTGTTCTACAAAAAAATACAAAAATTAGCTGGGCATGGTGGCACCACTGTGCCATGACACCCTCAGGGGGTCTACATGGGCAGCAGCAACTCCATATCCTTTGGTGTGTTTTTCCTCCTGCACCTGGCAGATGGCACCCTTCATGCCTGATAACTTAATCAACTAATTCATTAATCCGTGACAGACCTGTCAACAATTACAAAAATAGCTCTAGAGAAACATGCAAAAATGCAGTGAGGGCCCAGGAAGAGGAGCATCTAAGCCTCACTGCCTTGGAGCTGGACTTTGAGTGAGTAGGAAAATGACTTGGGGCTGAAGAAAGGAAAAGGAGTTTAGAGTAGAGCTTGAGGCCCCTGCAGCTTCTTGTAAGGCTGAACCACTATTTCCCCCAAGGCCATGCCCAGTGGCTGGAACACAGCAACTATGAACCTCCTCTAGAGGGTTCTCTGCAAATCCTCCTCTCTGCCTCAGCCTTCCCAGCCTTAAATCATTGGTCAGAGCTTTTTCCCACTGAGATTTGCCAGAGTCCTAGAGTAAGCAGTAATGGAGCAGAAATTAGGAGCCAAATGAGTTATAGTCCTAGCTTTTCTATTCTTAACTCCTGGGCTTTTATGGAGCTCTTAGGGTTGAGCTGCATTTTAAAAGCCCACACATGGAACACATGGTGGGTATAAGTGACTCACCGTTAGAAAAAATTAAGTTAGGGCCCCAAGTCATGGCTGACACTAGAATAAATTCCAGATGGCTTAAAGATTTGAATGTAAAACATGAAATCGTAAAAATAGTAAAATAAGAAAATAGGTGAATATTTATAATTTTGGAAGGGAGGGAGAGTACAGAAGATCATTTTAAGTTTAACACCAAAGGCAGATAAGAAAGAAAAGATTGACAGCAGTGCAAAAAAAGTCCTGCACCAGAAGGCTATTTCAAAAGTGCAAAAATAAAAGTAGAAATAGAGTTAAGAAAGAACTGTACCCTAATGTTAGAGTTATTGGATACAAAGAAAAGAGGGACTTGGGCTACTTATTGGGGTGGTTAATTGAGCAACCGTATCTAGAGTATTTGTGTCAACTATCCCCTTACTTCCGACACTTGTACTAATCAGCCAGCTGCAGTGGAGATTTTCTCCACACCAAGCCAGCGAATGCCCCAGTAAGAAACTGGATATGCTCAAAGACACGATGGGTTCTCTTCTTCCCGACATACATCCCCCATGTATTTGTCCAATCAACACATTCTTCTTCCCACAAAGTTACTTTCTTTTTTTTTTTCCTTTTTCTTTTTCTAGTTAGAGACAGTATCTCACTATGTTGTCCAGGTTGGTCTCAAACTCCTGAGCTCAAGTGATTCTCCTGTCTCAGCTTCCTTAGTAGCTGAGATTATGAGCACGCTACTGGCCCAGAACCTCCCACAAAATTATGACATTCAGGCTCAGGAAACAGAACAGATGAGAACAGGAATGCACTAGATTCATACAGTGACTCATACCTGTAATCCCAGCATTATTGTAATCCCTTATAGCTGTAATTCCAGCACTTTGGGAGGCTAAGATAGGAGGGCCACTTAAGCCTGGGATGTCGAGGCTGCAGTGAGCCATGATTATGTCACTGCACTCCAGCCTGGGTAACAGAATAAGACCCTGTCTCAAAATAATAATAGTAATAATAATGCACAATTTAAAAATGAACAAACAGATTGGGCACGGTGGCTACCACTTGTAATTCCAGTACTTTAGGAGGCCGAGGTGGGCGGACCACAAGGTCAGGAGATCGAGACCATCCTGGCTAACACAGTGAAACCCTGTCTCCACTAAAAAAAAAAAAAAAAAAAAAAGGCCGGGCGCGGTGGCTCAAGCCTGTAATCCCAGCACTTTGGGAGGCCAAGGCAGGCGGATCACAAGGTCAGGAGATCGAGACCACAGTGAAACCCCGTCTCTACTAAAAATACAAAAAATTAGCCGGGCGCGGTGGCGGGCGCCTGTAGTCCCAGCTACTCAGGAGGCTGAGGCAGGAGAATGGCGGGAACCCGGGAGGCGGAGCTTGCAGTGAGCCGAGATCGCACCACTGCACTCCAGCCTGGGCAACAGCGTGAGACTCCGTCTCAAAAAAAAAAAAATTAGCCGGGCTTGGTGGCATGCACCTGTAGTCCCAGCTACTCAGGAGGCTGAGGCAGCAGAAATGCTTGAACTCGGGAGGCAGAGGTTGCGGTGAGCCAAGATCGCACCACTGCACTCCAGCCTGGCAACAAAGCGTTACTCCGTCTCAAAAACAAAAACAAAAGCAAAAAACACAAATATCTATAGTTACTAAGCAATTGGGTAAAATTAACACTGTGAAACAGAGCCATCAAAATCCATCTGTAGGCTGGGTGCAGTGGCTCACACTTGTAATCCCAGCACTTTGGGAAGCCAAGGTGGGAGGATCGCTTGAGCTCAGGAGTTTGCAACCAGCCTGGGCAACATAGGGAGATCCCATTTTTACAATTCTTTTTTTTTTTTTTTTTAAATTAGCCAGGTGTGGTGGCACACACCTCTAGTCTCAGCTATTCAGGAGGCTGAAGTAGAAGGGTCACTTGATCTCAGGAGTTTGAGACTGCAGTGAGCCACAGTCTCACCACTGCACTCTAGTCTGGGTGATAGAGTGAGACCCTGTCTCAAAAATGAAAAATTAAAAATCCACTGTGAGAAACCAGAATATGCCATCCCAAAACATGCCACTTTGATGTAAGGATTATTTTGAGTTGAAGGCACTTGAGAAGATTTACAAAGATAAAGACCCGCTGTATCAGGAAAGACAAAAGTTAACCATCAGAGACAACTTTAGAGCTTAACAACCTGGAGATGGCACCAAAGGAATCTACATAGCAAGCTCTACTGAATAGCCTGTAACTGCCATTTATTTGCTGTTCCACAATTTGCTGCCCTTAGAAATTCAATGTCCTTGTCCCTTGTCTTGCCACTTCTCTAAAAATTACTGTTCTTTGCTGAAGATGCTATATGAGCTGGAATTCCAAGCCATCTCTTTGAGGCCTATTCATTCCCTGGGTATTTCCCATGTGTATATGAAATATACATGCTAATACACTCATTTGTTTTTCTCTTGTTAATCTGTCTTTTGTTATAGGGGTTCATTCCAACTAAGAATTTATAAGAGTTGCTGAAAAAATTAATTTTAGTTCCCTACACTGCCATCTGAAAAACAAACACCTAAGAATGAGAATTAATGAGTACTTACAGAGCAAGGCTTTAGATTAAGCATAGTTAATATCTCGACAAGATATGTGAAAAGATATTTCATTTACTAAAAGGAATTAAGCCAGGCATGGTAGCTCACACCTATCATCCTAGCACTTTGGGAGGCCAAGGTAGGAGAATTGCTTGAGTCTGGGAGTTTGAGACCAGCCTGGGCAACATAGCAAGACTCTATCTCTACAAAAAATTTAAAAATTATCTGGGTGTGGTGGTGTGTGCCTGTAGTTCCAACTAGTCAGGAGGCTGAGGTAGAAGGATCACTGGAGCCCAGGAGTTTGATCTTTGAGCTCTGATCTTGCCACTGCACTTCAGCCTAGGTTACAGAGCGAGATCCTGTCTCAAATACATTAAAAAATAGAATGAACTAAATATTGATTTAGAATTCAGTTTCCCAAATAAAAATTCAAAGGGCTTAATAACAAAATAGATACAGCTGAAGAGTGAAAAATAGAGTTGAAAGATCAAGCAGCTAGGAAATTCAGGAGACTAAAAAACAGCCAGGTGTGGTGGCTCACGCCTGTAATCCCAACACTTTGGGAGTCTGAGGTGGGCGGATCACCTGAGGCCGGAAGTTCAAGACCAGCCTGGCCAACATGGCAAAACTGTCTCACTAAAAATTAAAATTAGCTAGGCATGGTGGTGCATTCCTGTAACCCCAGCTACTTGGGAGGCTGAGGCATGAGAATTGCTTGAACCCGGGAGGCGGAGGTTGCAGTGAGCCAAGATTGCACCACTACACTCCAGCCTATCTCAAAAAAAAAAAAAGAAATTCTCATAAAATGTAGTTCTAAAGAACAGAGGTGAGAAGTACAAAAGAAAAATTAGGAAGTATGGAGGATGAATCCAGAAGTTCTATCATACTATTTAACAGGAATTCCAGCATAAGAAAACAGAGGAAATGGAGGGGAAAAAATAAAGAAATAAATAATGAAATATTTTCTGGAGGTGAAAAAACACAAAAGCTTTCACATTGAAAGGACCCCCTGAAGACCAGGAAGAATAAACAAAACAAAACAAAAAAGACCTACACCCAGATTAACTATGATTAAATTTCAGAATACCAAACATGAAGGAAATACCAAGCAACTTTGTTTTATTCCCTTACATTTGTAAGTGAATTTTTCTAGGAAGAGGATTCACAACAATTATTCAATTCTCAAGTAAGTAACCAAAAGGAAAGTTTAAGAACCACTGCCCTCCCTGAAGCTCCGCCAGCCGCGGCCATGAGTAGCTTTGGAGCTGGCAAAACCAAAGAAGTTATCTTCAGTGTGGAGGATGGCTCCGTGAAAATGTTCCTGAGGGGCCACCCTGTGCCCATGCTGATCCCAGATGAGCTGGCACCCACCTATAGCCTGGACACACACTCGGAGCTGCCTTCTTGCCGGCTCAAGCTGGACTGGGTCTATGGCTACCGTGGCCGAGACTGCCGGGCCAACCTTTATTTGCTACCCACCGGGGAGATAGTATACTTTGTGGCCTCTGTGGCTGTGCTATACATCGTGGAGGAGCAGGGGCAGCGACACTACCTGGGACACAATGATGACATCAAATGCTTGGCCATCCACCCAGATATGGTCACCATCGCCACGGGACAGGTGGTGGGCACCACTAAGGAAGGGAAGCCGCTGCCACCCCACGTGCGCATCTGGGACTCAGTTTCCCTCTCCACCTTACACGTGCTGGGCTTGGGGGTGTTTGACAGAGCCGTGTGCTGTGTGGGCTTCTCCAAATCTAATGGGGGCAACCTGCTGTGCGCAGTAGATGAATCCAATGATCACATGCTCTCGGTGTGGGACTGGGCCAAGGAGACCAAGGTGGTGGATGTTAAGTGCTCCAACGAGGCTGTATTGGTGGCCACCTTCCACCCCACAGACCCCACTGTGCTTATCACCTGCAGGAAAACTCACATCTACTTCTGGACCTTGGAGGGGGGCAGCTTGAGCAAGCGGCAAGGCCTCTTTGAGAAACATGAGAAATCGAAGTATGTGCTGTGTGTGACCTTTTTGGAAGGTGGCGACGTGGTCACGGGGGACTCTGGGGGTAACCTCTATGTTTGGGACAAAGGTGGGAACCGTATCACACAGGCGGTGCGCTGGGCGCCCATGACGGTGGCGTGTTTGGGCTCTGCGCCCTGCGGGATGGGACGCTGGTGTCCGGAGGGGGCCGTGATCGGCAGGTGGTCCTCTGAGGTTCTGACGACAGCAAGCTGCAGGAAGTGGAGGTCCCCGAGGACTTTGGCCCTGTGCGCACTGTGGCAGAGGGCCACGGAGACACACTGTACGTGGGGACCACCCACAATTCCATCCTGCAGGGCTCCGTGCACACGGGCTTCTTGCTGCTGGTCCAGGGCCATGTGGAAGAGCTGTGGGGCCTGGCCACACACCCCAGTCAGGCCCAGTTTGTGACCTGCGGGCAGGATAAGCTGGTGCATCTGTGGAGCTCAGAGTCCCACCAGCCCCTGTGGAGCAGGATTATCGAGGACCCTGCCCGCTCAGCCGGCTTCCACCCCAGTGGCTCTGTCCTGGCTGTGGGTACAGTGACTGGCAGATGGCTGCTGCTGGACACGGAGACCCATGACCTGGTGGCTATCCACACAGACGGCAATGAACAGATCTCAGTGGTCAAATTATCCCCAGACGGGGCGTACCTGGCCGTGGGCTCCCACGACAACTTGGTGTACGTGTACACGGTGGACCAGGGCGGCCGCAAGGTCAGCCGCCTGGGCAAGTGCTCGGGCCATTCCAGTTTTATCACCCACCTGGATTGGGCCCAGGACAGCAGCTGCTTTGTCACCAACTCCGGGGACTATGAGATTCTGTATTGGGACCCGGCTACCTGTAAGCAGATCACCAGTGCAGATGCTGTGAGGAACGTGGAATGGGCCACAGCCACTTGTGTCCTGGGGTTTGGGGTGTTTGGGATCTGGTCCAAGGGGGCGGATGGCACTGATAACCACACTGTGGCCTGCTCCCATGATGGGAAGTTGCTGGCTTCAGCTGATGACTTTGGCAAAGTTCACCTGTTTAGCTACCCGTGCTGTCAGCCTCGAGCCCTCAGCCACAAGTACGGTGGACACAGCAGCCACGTGACAAATGTGGCCTTCTTGTGGGATGACAGCATGGCCCTGACCACGGGGGGCAAGGACACCAGTGTGCTACAGTGGCGGGTGGTCTGATGAGGCCAGGGAAGAGTCAGGTGTCAGGGCAGGAATTCTATTTTCGGGAGATGTCTATTGCCAAGTAGAGTAATATATACCCAGAGTATGTCTACAGCAGAGGGGTTTATGGGGGCGGAAGGGTAGACTGACAGAAGTCTCTATTTATCCGGGTGGGATGAGGGAATCACATTGCTTTGGGGATCCACTGGTGTTTGGTTTGGGGTGTTTTTTAAGTTTTTTCTTTTATATCATCCAGAAATAAAGACACGTGCACTATGGTGAAAAGAAAAAAAAAAAAAGAACCACTGCCCTCTATGAAGTCAGCTTCTCCAAGAAGGTTATCTGGAAAGAAGCTTAACCCCTAAGTGAGACCTTCCCCCAAAGGTTGCAAAGGTTGCTCCACACATCTAGTTCTGTTTACTCTTTTTTTTTTCTTCACACCTGAAGAAGGAAAGTTTAGCCACGCTCAAAACCTTACTGTCCTTAGTTCAGACAACACATTATTACACTTTCTTCTTTCTGGGAAAAACATGTGCAAAGATTTTCCCTCGGAAATGTGCCTGTTTTTAAAAGTCTCTAAAACTCAAGAGTGCTAGTATTTGCTACTCTGAAGATCTAGCCAGGAAAATGGGGGCAAAGGGAGGACCATGAAAGCCCACTGTGTCCTTTTAGTGTTGGGGACCTGAAGACATGGGCCTGATCAGTGTACAAGGCCAGGACTGGGAGGCTGGAAACTTGGGTTAGAGCCCTGGCTCCACTACTTCCAACTGTGTCATCCAGGCCAATCCCTTTTACTATTTCCTTGTCAGTGAAATAGGAACATACTTGTTCTGTCTCTCAGAATAGTTCTGGGGCTAAGATGGTAAAACAATGAAGACACTCTCTGAGACCTCAAGTTCTAAACCAAGGGTCACTTAGGCAAGTGCCTTCCAGAGCCAGATAGCTAATGCAACTTTGTGAATTGGCCACATTAGAAAATGGTGGGGACCCACAAGTGATTTATGATATGGTTTGGCTGTGTCCCCACCCAAATCTTGTCTTATACTTCCCATATGTGGAGGGAGGGAGGTAATTGGATCATGGGGAGCAGTTTCCCCCATGCTGTTCTCATGATAGTGAGTGAGTTCTCACGAGATCTGATGGTTTTCTAAGCTTCTGGCATTTCCCCTGCTTGCACTTCTCTCTCCTGCCACCATGTGAAGAAGGTCCTTACTTCCCCTTCACCTTCTGCCACGATTGTAAGTTTCCTGAGGCCTCCTCAGCCATGTGGAACTGTAAGTCAATTACACCTCTTTCCTTTATAAACTACTCAGTCTCGGGTATTTATTTATGGCAGTGTGAGAACGGACTACTACAATTCATTGTTGGACATGCTGAATCTAAGGTGCATACAGGGAAATATGGTATTTCTAAAGTATGCTCTAGGAACCTTAGTTCCAGGAGACATTAATATCCCAGGAAAAAAGGTGGGGGACTGTTGAGGGTTGTTCAGGTTCCCTAGAAAACAAAGCCTGGGGCAATGATTATATGCTGATGCTTTAAATGAAGGCACAAATCCAGAGCCTCAAGAGTGATGTAAAAGGGAGGGCTGGGAAATGATGCAAGATGCTTGGAGGAGCCAGAGGCTCCTGGCAGCAGCTGGCTAGCCATAGAACGCCAGAGTTGGCTGCAGTGGCAACAGTTAAGGAAATGCAAAAGGCTAGGATCTAGGACTTAGGCAGGCTAAGAGAACCTATGAAAACACATAGAATGTGTCCAACATAAATGTCAAACAAGATTAAGAAACTCTAGGTACTACATGCCCCCTCTTAGAAATATGCAATGCATATTAGCACATTAACAGTTCTAGAAGTATCTCAACAAGGAAACCAATTTCATTCTATTTAATCCAGCATTTCCCAAGCTTATTTGACCGCAGAACCTTTCTTTCATGCACTGCTCATCTGTAGAACTCAGTTCTGGTCAGCTATGAATACTGAAATTTGGGGCGCAGGGAAGAGGATAGATTGTAGATATGAATTTGAGATTAATAGTGATTAAAACCAGGAGAATAAAGGAGATCATCCTGGAAGAGTTTCTAGAATGATCCTAAGCTTGAGTCCTGGCATACATCAATATTTAAGGGACAAACATGGGAAGAAGATCCTTGAAGAGAGAAAAGGGAGAAACCATTGTAGAATTAGGAGAATCAGAAACCATCACTCGGTAGTAATGATGGTTAATTTTAGGTGTCAACTTGACTGGATTAAAAAATTCCTAGAAATCTGGTAAAGCATTATTTTGGGATGTGTAAGTGTGTGAGTCTGAGTGAATTCGGTGGAGAAGATCCACCCTTAATGTGGTCGGGCAGCATTCAATCTGCTGAGAACCCAGAGAACAAAAACAGAGAAAAGGTGAATGTGTTCATCCATCTGCTGGAACTGGGGCACACTGTTCCTCTCCTCTCCTTGGACAACAACTCGGGGGCTCCCCAACCTTTTGATTCCAGGACTTATACCAGAGGCCCCTGGGTTCTCAGGTCTGTGGCCTTAGACTGAGAATTATGCCTTCAGCTTGCCTGGTTCTGAGGCCTTTGGATTTGGATGGAGCCACACCACCAGCTTCCCTGGTTCTCCAGCTCGCAGACAACCTGTGGCAGGACTTCTCAGCCTCCATAATCATATGAGACAATCCCCCTAATGACTCTCCTCTCATATGTCAATGTAAACTAAAAATAAAATCCTAACCCCCCCCAGCCCACTGAACAGATCACCTCTTGGCCAAGGAGACACCAGAAAAACCTTAAAAATGGAGTTCCTGGTCATGACAGGATAGGTCAGACAAGCCTCATTATAACCCCCCCTCTTTTGCAATGTAGACAGAACAACTGATCTGCATTAATATCAAAATTGAGACCATAAGGCTCACAGAATGGACTCTTTGTAGGAATAAGAGACCCGACAGGTCACCCTGACCCAGTGTGTTGTGTCTTGCTCTTGCAGCCCGACTCTGGCATAGCATCCCATGATGGTTAGCAGACTTCTTAACTAATGTATGTTAAAATTAAACCTAAACATTCCTTCATGCTGACTCCAAGATTTTAAACAAAGCCTTACTCCTTTACCCAAATGCAAATTAAAGAATCTCTCAATCTACTTACGACCTGCAAGCCCCCACTTCAAGATGTCCCACCCTTTTGGGCCAAACCAAAGTATAATCTCCATGTATTGATTTATGACTTTGCCTGTAACTTCTGCTTCCCCGAAATGTATAAAACAGAGTTGCATTCTGAATGCCTTGGGAGCACTTACTCGAGGCTCTGGGTTGGTGTTTTCCCCAGGCTGCAGTCACTCATACTGGCTCAAAATAAACCTCTTTAAAATATATTGTATATTACAGAGTTTTTTTTTCCCCATTGACAGTTTCTCTCCAAAGATACAGATATAGATACAGTAGACATTGATATATATTGATTCTGTCTCTCTGGAGAACACTGACTAATACAATAGTTAAAGCAGAAAGGAATTTATGACCAGGTATACGTGAGCACAGGACACCCCAGGCTTGAGTTACTAAGAAATCCATCTTCCCAATCAGGCATTACCCTAGAGCTTGTTAGAGATGTAAAATCTTATATGTCATGGCAGATCTACTGAATCAAAATCTGCATTTTATCTAGATTTTTCAGGCCATTCATATGAATATTAAAGTTTGAAAAGTTCTGGCTTACAATATTACTAGAGGGCTGGAGGAGTAGACTTAAAATGGAGCTTCCAGAAATAATTGCAAACCCTCAGAATCATCACGGGTCTGCCATCACTGATCATGAAAGAACCTGCCACCACTCCTGCCGCAGGAAGCTACTGGGCCAGAAACCAGTACTGGTTGGGGACTACAAAATCAATCCGCCACAATCCACATCAGCAAAACTAATGCCCTACCTGCATCCTCTCTCTCCACTTAACTTAGTTTCAGATTCAAGTCACATGCAAGTTTATAGAATGACAATTCCTAAAGCTCATTTGGAATGCCAGCTGCAACGGAGTCTAGGAAGTGTTGCATCCCAGCGCTAATGCACTGGAAGGAGATGGGAAGGGATGTTATGTGAACCAGTCCATAGAATCCACCATTGGTGGTGTTGTGGAAGCTCTAACATGGGCCTCTTGTTATCCCTCCATATCTGTTCTCCCCCTCATTCATGGTAATACAATTTTTAGCTAAATAAGGACTACATTTCCCAGCCTCTCTGCAGATAGATATGACCATGTGACTGAGTTTGGGTCAATAATATAAAAGTGGAGGCCGGGCGCTGTGGCTCACGCCTGTAATCCCAGCACTTTGGGAGGCCGAGGCAGGTGGATCACGAGGTCAGGATATCAAGACCATCCTGGCTAACACGGTGAAACCCCGTCTCTACTAAAAATACAAAAAATTAGCCGGGTGTGGTGGTGGGCGCCTGTAGTCCCAGCTACTTGGGAGGCTGAGGCAGGAGAATGGCGTGAACCCGGGAGGCACAGCTTGCAGTGAGCCGAGATGGTGCCACTGCACTCCAGCCTGGGTGACAGAGCCAGACTCCGTCTAAATAAATAAATAAATAAATAAATAAATAAATAAAGTGGAAATGTCCCAGCACTTTGGGAGGCCAAGGCGGGTGGATCATGAGGTCAGGAGCTCGAGACCTGGCTAACACAGTGAAACCCTGTCTCTACTAAAAATACAAAAAAATTAACCAGGCGTGGTGGCACGTGTTTGTAATTCCAGCTACCTGGGAGGCTGAGGCAGGAGAATGGCGTGAACCTGAGAGGCAGAGGTTGCAGTGAGCTGAGATCACACCACTACACTCCAGCCTGGGCGACAGAGTGAGACTCTGACTCAAAAAAAAAAAAAAAAAAAAAAAGGGCGGGGGGGGGGAAATGTCACATAGCAGCTTCTAGAATTCTTTGAGAGAAAGTAGGAGCATGTCTTTTACATTTGTCTTTTATCCTCCCTCCATTGTGCTGTTTGGAGCATGAGATGGAACCATCTTAGACTAGGAGGTTGAGGGCTACACCCTAGGAGCTGGCAGAGATTTGAGTTAGAAAGAACCTGAGGCCAGGTACAATGGCTCACATCTGTAATCCCAACATTTTAGGAGAGGAAGGCGGGTGAATCGCTTGAGTCCAAGAGTTCGAGACCAGACTAGGCAACATGGCAAAACCCCATCTCTACTAGAAAAAAAAAAAATTAGTCGGGCACATGCCTATAGTCCCAAATACTTGGGAGGATGAGGCGGGATCGTTTGAGCCCAAGAGGTCAAGG